TCTAAGCAAGGACAACGTGCTGGACTACAGAAAGCAGTCCAGGACCTCGCTGCGGTCACTGTCCAGCTGGTTCTGACCCCACAGCCAGAGCATCCTAGGAAAAACTTTCAGGCAATCAGCTCCACATATTGCACTGGCTAAGCCTCATTCCCTGAGCAGGTCTTCTGACTACTGCTCACAATCTCTCAGACTAGGAAGACAGCATTTTCAAAGGCTAGTTTGTGATGATTTAGATACAAATATAAGATCATGCAGACAAGACAGCTCTCCCAACACCCTGTTGTGTGCATACAATCCGATGCTTTTCAGTAAATGTATGAAGTGATGCAACTATTACCAATAGCCAATTATGGAACATTGGTATCTCCCAGGAAAGGTTCCATGTGTCTCTCTACAGTTAATGCCCTTTCCCAAGACAAGTGCATGTTTAGTGAGTGCCCTTCCTCTGCCTCTACCCCCATGTCTTCTACTCGCTGGCATGCATTGCATGGAGTGGTACTACATGTTTGTTAGCATGGGTCACTGCTTGTGCCATTAACGACCTTTCAGAGGTCAGACACAAACACATGCATGCATATACATACACAACAACAACTGCGAAATCAATGTAGCACCTTCCCTATGCATGCCATCAAGAAAAGCTTAACATTATTGAAAACGCTTCCCACCCAGCTTTTACAACCATGGCCATGCTGTTCAAAGTCTGCTGGGGCAATGACTATTATCCTGTATGATATGTATCTTTTCCAAAAATCAGCATAACTCAGACCTTCAAAGGCAGTACCAGTGAACCCAAAGATAAAATCCAGGACAGGACTAAGAACGTGAAGTGAATCACCACAATCCAGTAACTTCTGGAATGTGGCACTACTCAACCGATATTTTCTTAGTAACCAAGGTTACATGTAGTTCTAAAAAACAGTGGGAGGAAAACTAGGGAAGAATTTTAAAATGTGCCTTTCTGTGGTCTGGTTTTAGCCTCTGGTTTGTTGCTAGATATGTTGCAGACAGTGGTCACCTGGGTATTTCCCAGTGGGTAGAAACACCATCTGGTAAAACCTCCCTGTGGAGGCGAGAGGATGTACCATCCTAATCACTCATCCCGAATGGTCCATGGAGGCTCTGTGGCCTCTGTCACCTGAGTATGGAAAAACTTAACACTGCCACTCCAGTTCCATCCTGAAAAACCAGCTTGATAACATGAAACTAACCAGTAATGCAGGGAACATCCCTGATGGACATTCTTATACCCACATCTAATTTACGTTTTAATAGTTTACCTTTTCAATGATTAAAAACATGACAAAATGGGTTTGCACACAAAAATAGCGAAGTTAACACTTTTTACATGTTTCAGTTATGCAAGGAAGTGAACAGCAACTTTCTCAGACATGAGGTTCTTTCCACTTGAGATCTGGAAGGAAATTCCATTATTAATTTAGCCCAGTTGTTACAAATCGGTTTTGAAATGAACACCACTATTTTCTCTTCTAATTCTACCTCCAGAATAATAAAAAGATGTGTTGAGAAAAAACGTATAAGACATCAGCTTGGCCTGTATGTCCTCCTAAAGGAAAAGTCAAATGAAATGAAAATATAAAGGCTTATAGTGCATTTTAGGGAAGCATGAAAGCAGGCATCTTCAAATACACAAAGTCTAACCCTCCCTTCCCCTACCTATTGCAGGAAAGCTCACCCAGGTTCACATTTTCTATTTTCAAAAAACAAAAGGCAGAGATGATTTAACAGATTTTTAACTTTCTATTTTCATAGCTGCACAAATTGAACAAACCATGGTGACAAGGGAGACTGTAAAATAATGGTATATATAAGTGATAATCTTACAGAACTCCAGCTTCTAACTAGGGAGGATGGCACTTTATTAAATTGAAATGATTTCTACTGACTGCTAAGTATAGAAGCCTCTGAAGTTAAAGTCTAGAATCAATTAACCAGATGTGCACATTACCTTAACTGAATTTTAAGAATGGTCTAATGCCCATATTTGAATTAACAGGCAGAAAATTAAAATTGAGTTGCAAGCAAGCGCTTTGCTGCCCTGAGGGAAATACTCCAGTCCATCTGCCATACAGTGTTGCTAACATGCATCAAACAATGCCAAGACTTTAAACACAAGAGAATAGGATCTCAATGTAAACACCACCTATGCATTAGTCTGTCCAAAGAAGGTAGTTCTGTATTACTTGAAACATGCTGAGTCAGAGAGTTTCCAAAAAGAAGACATATCTAGCACAGCTAAACCGTCATCATTAATACATAAAACATAATGCAGATCAAGTGAAATCAAAGAACTCTGAAGGCTAACATCAGTATGCCTCCAAATATAAAGAGCCACGCTTCCCAACACAACCAGCAGCAGAAATTAAGCCTCAGAAGCAAACACTGGAAATGCACGTCCACAACATCCTGAACCCCTTAGGAAAGCCAGCTGTGTACAATGTCATGAAAATCAACTGGACCACTAAGAGTCTTTCATTAAAAATGGCATTAATGTTTACACTGGACATTTGGTCCACAATTAGCTTAGAAAGAACACTTCTTAATAAATTCACTTAATAGTGTTTAACATTAAAAAAAGGGAGCTGGTTCTATGACGGGGTCAACTTTCCACTAAATTACTATCATAGAAACAATTAATTCCACACTCAAATAATACCTGAAAATCTTCTTACAGATTAGGAAGCAACTGAATTCCAACATATATTTCTACATACACTGACTACTTTATCACGAATATCAATCCAACCATTCTTTATCCAAAAGACAGGACTTCTTAATCTTTAAATAAACCTCTTTTCCTACTCCCAAAAATTGGTGATTAATTCAAGTTCTGCATATTATATGAGTGTGACCATCCCATTGTCACAATCCCAAATTTCGGATGCACCTATTTTGAAAGTTTTTATAGAAATAGTCAATGGCAGCAGAAGGATTTTACAATCATGCTGTTTTCCTTACTTAAACAAAGGTACATACTACCAAAAGGCTTTACTTAGGTAAACCTATACGTATTTTCACAAAATAATAGCATTTGCCTTGGAATTGAGGTACTTGAATGCTATCAAATCAGCCTTCACAGACAGCAACAACAACAGTGTAACATAAAAGAAACTCAGGAGCTCCTTTTCCCTCTCATTTCTAATAATCTCCTATGCTTACACTAAATAGAACAGAACTACGACTTCACAGCTTGCCTTCCAAAAACAGCCAGCTCTGGGAAGGGATGGCGGAGTTAATGAAGACCAGATGCCTACCTTCGCTGGTAGCCACATTCTTCTGGGCTTTGGTCGGCGTGTGATCCGTACTTGAACTCACGTCGGATGAGATGCTTGAGCTGCCTTTGCCTGCGGAACACAGAAATGAATAGCTTTGATTTTTATAATTTCAGAACTGGGCTGTGCCTTCCACTCAATTCCAAACCAAGACACATCACTTATTTCCAAGAAAGAAGCTATAATATCGAGAATGAAGTTTATTAAGTCTTGCATCAAATATCTTTTGGGAAATATCTGCCCCATGTTATGATAGAACTGAATCCCTCCTAGAGTATGGCTTGAAGATAATCTCATACAAAATATAAAATGGAGTTAAATGTTATAGCTTAATCTCATCTTGGAACACACATGAGAAAGAAAGTACACGTGGGCAACATATCTACCACATTAATTTTTATTTGAAACTCTCAATTACTCATTTTGCAGTAAAAGAAATAAGTAAATCTCAGAATCATACATTACAGAGGAGCATGAGAGTGTTGACTGCACATAGTTGTATCCCTTCAAAAAACAAACTCCCTGTTTTAGTAAGTCCCTTCTTTAAAAACAAAAGAAAGTACACTTCACTTTCGTAATGCATTTTTTTCCTCTACTGGGGATGATTTTTCAGTCCAAGGAACTTGGCAATGTCTGCTATCATTTTTGGGCGTCACAACTGAGGCAGTGAGTGCTACTGCCATCTAGAGGGTAGAGGCCAACAATGTTGATAAAGGTTTCTACAGGTCACAACCTTTAACAAAAATGATACACACTGATGTAGATACACGTTCTCTGGATGCCACCTGAAAGTCTACAGACATAGACCACACCTCACTGCCCAGCGAGAGAAGTGCCTGATGATTATAGTGGGGAGAACTCCAAGATGCACCCTGGGTCCCACATCCTTGCATCATCTCCTCCCTCATCGTGTGGATAGGACCTGGAGATGGCCTCTGGGAGGGTGTTCTGCAGATCTTATTAAAGATCTTAAAGGGTCGGCTTGCTGAAAAGGTAGATTTCCTGTGTAGTTTAATAAGGTAAGTAATTTAGAAGAGGCAATAGATGAGAGAGAGAGTCCCCCTCAGCTGGTCTTGGAGCTCAAGCTACCATGAGTTCTGTTGCTAGAAGGAAAGGAATTCATCCAACAACCATGTCACCTTGGAGGAGGACCCAAAGCGTGAGATGAGGCAGTCTTGGACAATACCTTGATTGTAAGACTCTGAGCAAAGACTCAGTTCATTTGAACCAAGGAAACTGTGAGATAATGAATGTAACTTATGTTAAGCTGTTCAATTTTTCATAATTTAATATGCCTCAATAGAAAACTAATGCAATAACCAACGAATAATTTCACAGACAACTGTTCAAGCTACAAGTTATGAAAAAATAAAGTTCTTACATGTGGCTGAGAAACACTGTTTTGCAATAGTCTCCTGCTCAATGATACATACAATCAACTGAAAGTTTATGTCCCCCTCAAAATTTAGACATTGAAATCCTAACCCTCAATGTGGTAATATAAAGAAGTGGGCCTTTGAGAGGTGACTGGGTTATGAGTGGAAGAAGAGAGGAGAGGAGAGGAGAGGAGAGGAGGGGAGAGGAGGGGAGGGGAGAGGAGGGGAGAGGAAGGGGAGGGGAGGGGAGGGGAGGGGAGGGGAGGGGAGGGGAGGGGAGGGGAGGGGAGGGGAGAAGCATCTTCCATCTGCTGGTTCACTCCCATAATGGTCTCAATGGCTGGAGTGAGCCAAGCTGAACCAGAATCCTACAGCTTCTTCAGTCTCCCACATGGGTGCAGGGGTCCAAATACTTGGGCCATTTTCTCAGGTACATTAGTAGAGAGCTGGATTGGAAGTGGAGCAGCCGGGTCTTGAACTGGCACCCATATGGGATGCTGGCATCACAGGTGGAGGCTTAACCTGCTGTGCTACAGTGCCCCCACTCCCTTGCTTTTTTGACCTTGGGTTTTTACTTGTCCCCCTGGATGTTCAGTATCTACATGTGTTACGGGATGTGACTGGACTAAGTGATCCTGGCAGCTCAGATTAGTCTAAGATTCTATAGGCTCATGACACAACTTCTCAAATCTGAGTCAAACAAACGTTCCCTTTAATAAGGCCAAAAATTTACTTTGCACCACCAAATATATTATATTGGTTTTTATTGTTTTGAAGCTTAGCAATGTGCCAGTAGAAAACCAGAAATAAACTCCATATGCTCTAACTCCAATTCAACAATAAAACTAAAACAAAATAGCAAACACAAAAACAACAAAACCCATAACATTCAAATTAACAGCATTAATTTAATAAGGTAGCTGATGTTATTTTTGCTGAGATTAAACTGCTGTTCAAAACTTAAATATAATACTGACTGCTAAAGCCAACATCCTCTTGGTTTTAGGACATCCTGTACCTTAGTCAGGTGAGGACTCACTCTGCTCACCACTGTCCTCCATCTGTAGTCAGAGTCCTTCCCTCCTGTGATAAGATGACGCATCAGTTATCTGTTCCTCAACTAGTCCAACTGCATCATTTGCACTTTTAAAAATTTTATTTATTTGAAAGGCAGAGAAACAGAGAGGGGTTGAAGTGTAGTATTTCATCTCCTGGTTCATCCCCCAGATGACCACAATAGCCAGGGCTGGGGCAGGCCAAAGCCAGGAGCCAGGAATCCAATCTGTGTCTCCCATGTGAGAGTCAGAGATTCAAGTCCTAGAGAGATCACTGCTGCCTCCCTGGGTGTGCACTAGAGGAAGGTGGATCTGACTGGGTCTCAGACCCAAGGACGCCAACATGGGACGCAGCATCCTAAGAGGCTTCTTACCTGCTTTGCCAAGCTCCTGCTCCTCATTCACATTGTAAAGTCTGTTTGTTTTTTTTTTCTTTTTTGTCAGTCCAACATCTACACAGATCTCCTTCCTCTAAGGCAAGGGAACAGCGGATAATGAAATCTGTGGCAGAATTCTGTTGTAAAAGGAAACCAGGATACAATTTCTTCTCTTTAACTTTTAAAAAATGTTAATTGACACATAATAACTGCATATTTACAGGGTACAGTATGATAGTTCAATACTTATATGTGATGTGCAATTATTATATCAGTTATCAGTATATGCATCACTTTAAATATTTATCATTTCTTTATGTGGGAACATCCACTTTAAGTTGATCATCGAGCCTGTGCCATGGCATAGTAGGTTATGCCACATATGGGTGCCGGTTCAAGTCCTGGCTGCTCCACTTTCAATCCAGCTCCCTGCTGATGTACCTGCGTGGGCAGTGTAGGTCAGTCTGAGTGTTTGGGTCCCTATGCCCACGTCAGGGACCCAGAGGAGGCTCCTGACTCCTGGCTTTCACTTGGCCCACCCCAGCCATTGAGGCCATTTGGGGATTAGACCAGCAGATGGAAGATCTCTCTTTGTCTCTCCCTCTCTTTCTCTAGGTAGCTCTGCCTTTCAAATAAATGAAACAAATCCTAATAAACATTATAATCAAAATGAAAGCATGAAATGAAACAACAGATTTCATAGAAGACTCTTGGACATGCCTAAGAACATGTGTACGGACCCTTCAAGGGGCCACCAACTTCATTATAGGAGATGCTGTTCTATGAAGAAAGGGAATAAGGTTGAGGAAACACACACTCTTGTTATGTTGTTTATAATAGTAGTTCACATTGAGTACACACAAATATTGTGTTGTGTACCCTAATACATTCTTTAACTGCTCCATTCTATTAAATACCCATTATGCCTAAGACTGTGTTTCACAATTTCTTTCATTATTGCCCTGATAATGAAAAATTTTTGACTTTTTCCTAATTACCCCCTACCTTGTCCAGTGAAACTATAATACCAAAGATATGCTATATACCTGTTGTGTGTTGTGTGTATATATCTTCTTCATAAACAAAATTGGCAAGATTGATCACCCTCCATGAACCTCCACTGTGCATCCTTAGACAAGTGAAACATTTTTATTTTTATTATTTTTTTAACTTAAGGGACAGAAAGAACATGACAAACAGATAGACAGACAGACAGAGCTCCCATCCACTGGTTTCCTCCCCTAGCTGGGCCAGGCCAAAGCTAGGAGCAAGGAATTCAACAAATAACAACAACAAAAAGTAAAGAAATATTTTATATGCAAAGAAGTTAAATTTTGCATGTTTCATATATATAATAAAAATCCTTCAAGTATAAACAAGGTTGACAATTCTTGTCTCTACTTTGCCTACCTGAAACTATTATTTGGCCAATAGCTAGCCCCAAAAGGGGCTTTTCACATATTATAACTGTGCCTAATGGATTTAAGAAAGTAATAGCTAATTTTCACCTGAGTGGGCTAAAGGTACAAACAACAACTTAGTAAAAATTAGATATTAAATACAAGTAAACATCCAAGCAAGGGAACTAAGGTGCAAGGTGGGTGAATGTTATCTGTAATAGGTTAGGACATAAGCACAAGATTGAAGATTGCACTATGAAAACAATCAGTAGGGTGGAGCCATCGTTTTGGTCACGTGGGTCACACTATTTGTCCAGTAACATTAACAGAACAATGCAGTGGTCTTTTGTTCCAATCAGGTATGCCTTTAGGATGGCTGCTAGAGTGTGCCAGGTTTTTCTAACATTTGAAGATAAAGAGAATGATCATTAATTGAGATGCTATTAGTGAAAGTTTTAAAGTTATTTTAATTTATAGATTCCCATATGTAAAATTAAAAACTAAATTTCTTCTCTTTGCTCATTGCTAGTACCCAGGTTGCTTTTGTAAAAGCAGCTACTTAAAACAAGAAAGTCAGAATTTCTCCATGGTGATTTATTATAACACAAACAAGGTAAAATAGTGTAATAGAAGAGATCAATCAACAGCAGAACAAAATTGAATCAATGGGATCTTATGATTTCTAACATCCTTAAGAATCCAAGAAGCCTCCTTCAAAATTGATTCACTCTATCAATTCCAGATTGTACACACTGCATTCATCACAGACTCCAGCTGCAGACTTCCAACATGAAGTCCTCAAGCAAGGGGACCCATGAGGTGGCCTCAGCCCCATATTTCCTGCTTCTGTCTACTTTACCTTAAACCCAGTGCTGGTACACTAAGACAGCCTTATATAATATTAAACGCCCATACCAAAGGAAAGAGAATTTATTCCCCATCTCAGAATTAGATTAAGGGAGATATGGGTCATATTTGTATGCTGAACTCACTATTATTCTCCCAATTATTATCTTGAGACAGTCTTTTTTTCTACTTTGACCCACAGTTTACATGTTTGTACATACAGAATAATAATATTAGCTATTTCATAGAACATTCACTTTATCCCTGGTCCAAGTGCATATTGGGTTTTTTTTTTTGGAAACAAACTGAAACATATTATAAAATCATGTTAGTTCTTTCTGGACAAATGGTAGCGATGTAACAGATGACTTCTCCAGCCCTGGAGGTCTTGAAGTTGATTGAAAGGAGGAGGAACAGGATCCTAACCCTTCTGTTTCACCTCACTATAAATGAAAACCACCAAATAATGTATTTTATTTTTGCTTCTCCTGTTCTTTGATTTAGGCTGCTGCAAAATTGGAAGCAAGAGCTGAGAAGAAGGGGATGATGGAAATGAAGTAGAACTGTTAGAATCATGTTTTTCTTTTCCTCCATAGCCATTGAATGTCTGAAACTTGCCTTCTATTTCATTTTCCCAAATCACATCAGAGCCACTGAGCCAGATACACACATCCACAATCAAAGCAATCCAGGGCATGGCTATCAAACAAAATACAGTAAATTAGCACATGCTTCATTCCATGGCTCAGCACTGCACCTGGCACTGAGTCTCTTCCCCTAAGAAGCTGCCATTCCAATGAGATTTAGATCCACCTTAAGGAAAGCCTAGGACATAGTTCAGCAAGTGCAACACTGCCAAGCCACAAAGTGAAGTCCTGCAGAAGCAAGGCCTGGTCTGTGAACAGATAAATTAATAAAGAAAATGTACAAGTAAACACAAAAATATTACTCAGCCATAAATATGAATGAAATTCTGTTACTGGAAGCAACATGGATGCAGCTGAAGGACATTGTATTAAGTGAAACAAGTCAGGCACAGGGAGACAAATAACACACATTTCACCAATATATGGAATGAAGAGCTGATTTTAACAAAAGTAGGATATAGAACAGTGGTTACCAGAGGCTGGGAAGGGCATGTGTGTTGGGGAGGGGTTTAGGAGAAGGGAGGTAAGAATAGAAGATGGCTAATAGTACAAGAATACAGTAGATGGACAGGACTAACTATAACACAGCAGAATAGCTGTGACTAGCAATCATTACTTCAATATTTCAAAATAGCTAAAAGAGAGTATTTTGAATGTTCCCAAAACAATGATAGATGTCTGGGGTGATATATATGCTAATTACCCTAATCTGATCACTGCAAATTATGTATATGCACACAAATAGCACATTGTTCTCCTCAAGTATGTACAATTAATATATATCAATTTTTAAAATAAAATAAATAAAAACAAGACTGGGTTGAGGGTTTTAGGCTTTTTAAAATCATATTTTAATTGTGATTACATATCTATATATAAAAACATAAATTTGTCATTTTAGCCATATGTATGTCCAAATCAGGAGCATTAATGGCAGCACAATGTTACAACCATTGCCACTTTCTACTCCTAAAATGTTTTCAACCACACAAATGGAAGCTCTCTGTAACCATTAAGCATTCAAGCCCTGCTTCTCCTCCTCCTTCTAATTCTTGCTACCTCTCATCTGCTTTCAGTCTCCATGAATTCCCCATGTCGACATTTCATGTAAGTGGAATCATATGTTATTTGTCTTTTTGTGTCTGGCTTATTTCACTTAAAATGATGTTTTCAGGGTACATTCGGTTGGTGTATCAGGCCTCATTCTTTTTTGTGGCTGTACAGTATTCCATCATGCATTTACGCTACATGGTTAATCATTCGCCTGATGATGGATACTTGGTGTGGTTCCACCTTTTGGTTACTGTGAATGGTGCTGCAATGACAGGATGCTCATTTGTGATTGCTTTTTGCTTATTGCTTCTAGCCAGAATCCAATCCTGAGCACTATGACTAGAGAAGACAAAGTACAGAGTTCTTTCCAGAGAGAAGCGTGACAGCTCATGACTGAGCCAGCATCTCCTGGAAGGCCAATGAAAACCCTGCTGCAGCAGCCAGGGTGGGCAGAGAGCTGCGGACTTGGGGGAATGGAATGGAAGGAAATGATTTCACAGTGCACTGTGTTAGCTCCAGGTAGGGCTGGCGGCCAGTGTTGTGGGTCCCTGTGGATCCAGAACAGCAAGACAGCAGATGTCACAGACACTAATGGGACTGATGCAGAGCACTGGGATCTAAATACACCTGCCTCAAAACTCTGTTTGTCAAGAGATACACGTGGGCTTCCCCTTTCTCCTCTATATGGTGACTTGCCACTTTCTGGGTAGAAAAGGCACAAACTTTTGTCTCAAGTGAAATAGTGCTGTAAGGGACTCCCCACTCCAACACTATATAAGCCATGCTAAAGGGTGAATTGCCAACCCTGGCATAACCACACATGATCCTGAAGGACAAAGAGCTAATCATTCAAGTCCCATTAGCTTACAGTCATTATTTATCATCCCAGCAGCACTCTCTTTCACAAATCTCAATTAAACCAATATTTTCTGGGGTTGGCATTGTGGTGTAGTGGATTACATCATCACCTGTAATGCCGCATCTTCTATGGGTGCTGGTTCATGTCCCAGCCACTCCACTTCTGACCCAGCTCCCTGAAAATGAACCTGGAAAAGCAGTGGAAGATGGCCCAAGTGCTAGGGCCCCTGCACCCATGTGGGAGACACGAAAGAAGCTCCAGGCTCCTGGCTTCAGCTTGGCCCAGCCCTGGCTATTGTGGCCATTTGGAGTGTGAACCAGAGAATGGAAGATGTGTGTGTGTGTGTGTGTGTGTGTGTCCTTCTCTCTCTGTAATTCAATTAAAAAAAAAATCTTTAAAAATGTCTGCATCGTTCATAGAGGCTGAGATTACTAATAAAAAGAGATGAAGGGTCATGACTTGCACACAGTCCTCTTAAACCTAGGAAGGTAGCAGGATGGTCGGCGTGTGCAAATATACCACCTGCTGCCTTTGAGGGCACGGAGCCAGAGGTCAGGCTTCTCGGGCCAGAATCCTAACAATGTCACAGGCAAAATGATCAACTTTCAGGAAGTTCCCCCAATATTTCACTGTCTTCATCTATAAAATGGGTTGAAAGTGAAGATAGATTTGTAGGACTGAGAGAAAAAAAAATGAGCTAAATAGATTGCCTGTAATGGCATCTGAATATAATAAACACTAAATGTTAGCTGCTAATCAAACTCCCTAATAATATTGTTAATTAATAATATAATTAAATGAATACATGCTAAACCTATTACAAAGAATTATAATTCAAACTAGAAAAGGCAAGACAGTCTATACTGGACTGAGGACATAAAATACAGACACATGAATAGAATTAAACATATATGCGGTATTAAGCTCTTCACCAGGATCATTAAGCAATATTCTCAAATGCTGATTTTTTATTTTGTTAAGTATTCTATTCCTCTTTTTCTGGAGTAGGACATGTGAGGTTCAAAGATAAAACCTGTCCAAGATCACAGATTGGTTCAGTGTTTGGCCCAGAGATTTTTGCTGCTTAGTATGACTGATTTTGCACAATGATACAAATACGGTTGGCTGGAAACAAGCAAGCTCAGGTCTGTCTTCATCACTGAACGGTTATCACTAAGAGGTTTCATCCCTCATCAGCTTTGTTGGCTGCCATGAAGAGTCTTCCAAAAGTTCAAGGAAACTTCAAATGGGCTTTTAATTCCATTTTCCACAAACTTTTTGAAGCCCTCTTGCATATCCCCCAAAAGAAACACTGAGCTTCGCACATTATGAGGTCTTATTACCTATGGCTGACTGCATGAATAAACTTAAAATTTTTTCCCAATGGAAAATCCCTAGTTCCACAATGTTCCATAACTCTATGCCATTCTTGGGCACCCAAAAAGAGAATCTTTATACAAAGGCTATCTGTAGAGTGTGTCATCAGAACTTTGAAAATGCACACGGATTCCCAGCAATGACATCCTGGAAAGTGCTCTGTATTTGTTTCCTAGAGTGGCTATAACAAATCTCCATCCACTAGCAGCTTAAAATCACAGAAATGTATCACCTCATGGGTGATTTTGGAAGCTAGAAGTCAGAAATCACAGTGTTAAAAGAGTTATGCTCTTCCCAAGAGATTGAGAGACAACCTGCCCCTTGCTTCTTTCCTAGCTTCCCGTGGCTGCCAGCAATCCCAGGCATTTCCTGGCTTGTGGCAGAAGAACTCCAGTCTCTGCCTCAGCCATCACACAGCTGTCTTCCCTCTGTGTGACTTTGCGTCTCTTCTTACAAGGACAGCAGTCATACTGGATTGAGGGCCACCCTGCTCAGTACGCCTTCATCCTAACCAAATACATCTGTAGCAATCCTATAAGATCACATTCCGGTGTTTCAGCAAGCATGCGAATTGGGGAGGGGGAAGAAGGAGAGAGTAACATTTAAGCCAGCAGATATCCCAACATTGTCTTCAGCTGAATTAAAACGAAAGCACAAAATCCTACCCTGAGTCTCTCAAATGGGCATTTGCTCAAGTTTCATTGTATGACAACATTATTATGAGTGGAAAAGAAAGATTAGCAAGTAAGATTTAGTGCACTATGGAATGCAAGAAATCTAAGAGTCCCCCAGCTTGTGAAAAGCAAGCACTTGGCACACAAGCATGAGTGGTTTCATGCTGAAAAGGGCAGACAATATTTCACTAAAGGCACCAGGGGCAGAGCCTGCTCCCTCAAGCCACACACCCACCTCAGGCCCTTTAGGAAATTCTGCCAGAGTTAACCCAGATGCCAACTGACAAAAAGACAGATGCTGCTGCTACTGCTGACAGATGGTGCTTCACAGCTGGGGTTCTAAACAGAGTAATGAGAGGATCAGAACCATGGACAGGCTAAAGGCTACTTGCATTAACACAAGAATTTCCTTTGTAATATAAGTGGTTGCTCAAAAGTCATTTATGCTAATAACAGTATCTCTGAGACTTGTAGCAGTAATTAACCCCTGCAGATCATGAGAAGACTGTGCCTCCTTAATCCAAGGTACAAGGAAACCCAAGTGTACTTGTGAAGCTCAATGCTGTCTGCATGACCTGAAATCATCTTCATTTCCTGGCATCAGGGCCTCTGGTGTCAATAAGCCAATGACTGCCTCCTCTGATGCACTCACTCATTCATTCCACATCCCCTGTTCCACTGTATTCAATGACCAAGCTATCCTGGCCATGGAGATTATATACTGCTGCATATTGAGGGTAAGGAGAAAGAGCAACCATCACCATTACCTTCCAACAGGGAGTGCAGAGAAGGACAGGCAATGTTGCCCCTGAGTCTGCGGATTTACAAGGCTCAGTCCCAGGATGCTGCCAGTCAGTCACATATCATTGTACCTAACATACCCACTGATTTTACAGTTTTTATTCAAAGTACATTTATATGCACTTACCTTAATTATCACTGACAATCTAGATTAGAACAAATTGCAGACAATAAATTCTTTAAAATTTTATCTATTTATTTATTTAACAGGTGAAGAAACAGAGACAGACAGACAAAGAGAGAACTTCTATCCACTGTTCACTCCCCAAATACCTGCAATGCCAGGGCTGGGTTAAAGGTAAAGTCAGGAGGCAGAAACACAATCCAGGTCTCCTGAGTACTTATCAGGAGCTATCACTGCTGCCTCCCAGGGTCTGCATTAGCAGAGAGCCAGAGTCAGGAATTGGTGCTGGAAACCAAACCTAAGTACTCCAATATGGTGTCTTAATTGATATGTATAACACTTACCCCATGAATAATAAGTTCTTAAAATGCATTAATTCTCCTCCTATCATGCACAGCAGTAGCACTCCCAACAATGCAAGGAGGAAAGGTTATATTTAAGATCTTAATATTTAATGCAAAAAAATTTAGCATCTCATTATGTTTCACATTCCAATTTCCTATTCATTGGAAATATCATTATTCTCTTACAACTCTATATATGAAATGTGTTCCCTTTAAATACATTTTAAAAATTAAAAAACAGAATCACTGGCAACATTCTAATGCCAAAATTTTGTATAAGGAAACTAAAAAAAGATCCAAATCGTTCTGTTTGACAAAGAAGATACAATCAGCAAGTCTTCCCAACACTGTGAACCAAATGTAGCTAAGAAAACACTTAGAAGTAGACAGTATAATGTGCAATTCAAATCACACCCCCTTAGAAGCTGGAGTCCCTGCATAAGTAATCAATGTTTCCCAGCATCTATCCCTATGCCTCAGACTGTGAAAACCAGAGGAGGTCAGCTTCAAAGTCCCGTTCAGCTTTCCCTTTCTACATTCATTACTCCCTCCACTCAGAACATCACCAGCCCTTGAGTAGAACTACAAGCAACTTTACAACTACAAACCAAGATCCAAAAGGGTCTAAATGTTTTGTGGAACAGTGGAAGATAAAGAATCATTGGCCAACTCTCTCCTTCCTAGGTTGAAATTTTATCATATATATGGTAAAGTCATATATATGATTTTGAAAGTTTTTTGCACTGAAATAAACTTCTTTTTTAATTCTACTTTTCCCAAGAAATGTTTAAAGTGCCCTTTTATAAACAATCCCTGACTTTTGAGAGTTCAATTGAATGTTTTTCAAAATTAGGATGGTATAAAAGTGATACATATTCGAAATAACTCATACTTCAAATTGTGACGCTTTCCCCAGGATTGTAATATGCAAGATAATATTCTGAATATACTGGGCAGAAGCAGCAGTCGCACCTCCCAGCCAACCCTGTGGTTGTGAGGGAAACCTTCAGTGCTCTACAGTGCTGTGCTGTGTTGCTAAGCTCTGACACTCAGTAGGTTGGCTGTATTCAATTCATTCTTGACATGCAATACTTTTAGCTCACAATGAATTTATTAGGCGATAATCCCTTTGTAAATACACACATGCACACAATCATATTCACACATATACACACTAGCACACATATGTATTTGTATTACCCAAATCACCAAATCGTGGCTAGGTCATTTCAATGCTGTATTTTGACTTATGTGAATTTTGAATGCCAGTCAAAGTGTGGTTTCTTAGTCCTAATTGAGGTCCTCATACCTGCATTATTTTCGATTCACATCTCTTGCAATTTCCTTGGGACAGCAGTAGGTTCCCCTACTCCCATGGTAGGAAGCTGCAATTTTATTCCATAAGCATCCCTGAGCACAGAGCAAGAAAGTATGAATTGTGGAACAGAGAATACTTGACTGTCAGAATCCTTCCACTACCACAGCTTGAAGGAAGGCAGGGATAAAGGGCTACACTGAGTGCAGTAATTGTCCCACATCTGAATCCACTCCAGCTCTCCCAACTTTGAGTATTAGATTGGGTGAGTCTGATCTCACCTCTAACTCCAGCAAGGAGCTCTGCCTACCCAAAGTGCATCAACATGGGCCCACCCTCACTGTCCAGTGATTGACTCTGCTGATACTGATGAACAGATAAATGGCCAAATTGTTCATTGGTCATGAAATAGACCCTTCCACCTCTCTCCAGATATAACCATCGCCATTTGTTAGCATCCATATTGTGTCTAAAAGGAGAGTCCATGTTCTAATTAAGATTCACACAACAAAATATAAAGACAGAAGGAAACCAGGTAAGGCCATCACTGACATATTAGTAGTTCAAATCAGTCCTGCACTCACCCTGCAAACTGAACTCTGAACAAGTCTGTCTGCTGAGCCTGGTGGTGACAGTTGGTACTGCAGAAATTTAATGCTAACCAAAGATAACTTGAATTTAAGGAAAAAAAATCATCCTAAAGTTAAGATAGATTTTTTTTCCTTGTGAAAGAAACACTTTCTAAACTTTAAAGACAGACTCTATAAAAGGCTGAATAAGCATAAAGTAATAATTTTAACAGTGATGAATTACAATATTTTAAATAAGCATAACCAAGTAAAATAAGAAGCAGTCTACTTAGTCACATAATGAATCAGATAAGACTTGCAGACCCTGGGAAATTGTTTAGTTTGCTCTAGGCAATGAAAAGATGACTTGGTAGGTCTTTATTCCTCTAAAAACTTCAATTCAGTTTCTACCTATAATCTATGTTGTATTTTTCAAAGCTTTATGCATTTAAGAAAAATCACTCCCCCTAAATTTTGCATTTACAGCCCTTTTATCATATAAATTGTGGTCATAACCTAAGTTAAGGCTTGCAGAGGCCAGTGAAGGGAAAGGTCTGGCTTCTATAAAAGGAGAGACATTAAGCAAAATAAATCTTGCCTGAAACTGGAATGGTTCTTGAATATAGCAACTTAGGAGCTAATCTCTCCTCTTTTTTCAAAATATAATAGCTTTGCCTTTTGGCCAGACTAGATCAAATACTCCAGGGGTAGCTATTGTTTCTGTTCTCATTCTCATTCTTGATATACTGATATTTTGTTAATAAATGTAAAATTTCCAAGAAATCTTTTCCCAAACTCCTCTAGCACAATGGCCCAAGTTTATCCACACAAAGGTGCTACAAACATTGTGACAACTCTCCCAGCTGGCTTAAAGGAAGAACAGGGCCCAGGTATTTCAGCTTTTAAGCAGCATATAAACTCTTCCTCTACTTTGGACCTTCCTCATCCTCTTTCTTCTAAAACTTATTATTTGTTTCTCAGCTCTTGGCCACTATAGAGAAATAACTGAGGGAGCCAAACATTATGAATAAAAAGAGACTTATTTTGGCTCATGGTTTGGGTGGTTCACAGTCCAAGACTGGGCATTCACCACTAATCAGTTCAGCCTCTGGTGATGATGTTCTTGTTGACAGAGTCCAAGACAGAGAGTTGCCTGGTGAGAAAGAGGGAACACATGTGTCCATCTCTATATCTTTGTGGTCTTTCGAAAGACCATGGGGGCTCCATTATAGTGACTTCTTATCTAATCACTTTTCAAAGCCCCTACCTCTAAATACCACAATTAAATTAGGTTTCCACTAAGACTATTAGTTTATGATTTAGAGGGTCAAAACATATTCAAACCATAGCAATCCCCATCCTAAAAAGCCAGCTGCATTGGATGAATAGATTTTGTGAACTATAGATTTGTGAACTTCTAATTCTTAGGAGATAGAAAGAAGAACCAAAGTTCTGTGTTTTTCCTTTTCTCTACTGTCAATAAAACAGTCATCTTGCAACCTCTGGTGACCAAAATGTGTGGGTTGGAGTTTTGTGGGGTTTTATCCTCACCAACAAGTAAGCAATCAAATCTGTAGCAGCTTTTGTCCAGCTGGGTCCCCTTATAATTCATTTTCAATGATGGACAGTAAATGTCAAAAACCACAGGTTGAGGTGTAAGTTCCACTAGACTGCCCCCACCTCAGATGCTGGTCACAAGTCTTAGACACCTGTACTTCTGATTGCTACAAGTCAGGCTTTCCAGTTGTCCCTTATTGGGTTCAATTAATCTGGTTCACTGAAATCAGAGAACACCTTATCTCTGCTTACCGGTTGATTAAAAAGGATGTTAGGAGTATACAGATGAAGAGATTCAGAGAGCAAGGTAGCATGCGTGCCCTTTCTTGCTAGACCACTCCTTGAGCACCTGTGCATGTTTGTATGTCAGGAGCTATGCAAACTTTGCCCTGTTAGGTATTGTTTGAGGCTTTGCTCTACACATCTGATTACATCATTGTCCTTTGGTGACCAACTCAACCTTCAGTCCCTCTTTGTGGAGGAAGTGGTGAAAATTCCATCCTTACAGCTACGTGGTTGGCTCCTGCAGCAACCAGTCATTCCCTAGAGGCTCTTCAGGAGCTGTCGCCCCCCAGTCATCTCCATAGCATCCAAAGACATTCATTACTCCAGAGGGGGATTCAAGAAACCAGATGGAGACCAAATAAGTATTCTACAACATCACTCCTCTCCTTCTCTGTCTTTACTAATACCCGTATCATCAGATCATATCACCAGCCCCCTCTAACACCTCCTAACAGCTTCCCAGACTACAATGGGAATGCTATGACCCAAGAGTGATGGAACAAGGACTTAAGCCCCAGCCATTTTAGGTTTCTTGTTACCCCTGCCTTCTTTCAAGAGATCAGTTCCATCTCACACCCTGTATTGTCCCCCACCCATCCCCCTGCATTCTTCCCAAAGCCATTGGTCCAAACCTGAAGAGCCAGTATGGAGAAGCTGATCTGCAACTACTGCCTCACACCCCAACCCCTAGCCCAATCAAGATAGGAAAGGGCCCAGCCTGTTGGGATCTCGGCCTCTGCTACATGTTCAGTCTGTTAGCGTGATGGCAGTTGGTCGACCTCTGCGGATTTATTTACTCTGAATAAATCTGGTCTGGTTGCAAGTTCGTATTCTGTCTCCTCTCTGTTCTGCACACCTTTTTCTTACACTCAGTGCCCCAGGTGAGGCAGCACCAATCTGCACTCTTTTCCTAACATTTATGGTGTCCCATGTGAGGAGGGGCATGGAGGACCAGGTCTCTGGGTAAGATGTATGATTTCCCCCACCCTTCCTCCAAACTTTCTTCTTTGTTAACTGCTTTCCCTTTTCACTGTCTCTGCTCATTCTTATTTTCTCTTTCCTACAATCTCCTCTTTCCCTTCTGACCTTGGTAGCCCTGGGAGATGTCTCTCCAGAACACTTTCCCATTCCCGCTTGTACTTCTCATTTCCCAACAAATTCACAGCCAGAGCCTTTGTCAGATCTCATTGCTACCTGCCCATATTGGACCTAATTCTCAACCTATCAGATTGGTAAGAGAGGTCTCGCTCACCTCACTGGGGCAATGCTTGTGACTGGTTCATCCCCCTTCATATGGCCTGGGATGTTGGGTCAGTTTCCCTCACTTAGAACTGGGACGCTGGTCTAAGCATGGGGATTTCTACCTCTCTCTTCTTAGAGGACCCAGAACTTAGCATGGGGATTTCTACCTCTCTCCTCTTAGAGGACCCAGAACTTAGGTTGTTGGTTGTGGTTATTCTTTCCTTTGGGGGGATGCCCTGTAAAAGAACCCCCTTCCCTTCCCTCAAGCCAATTTTGCATAATCCACAGATTCCAAATTTCAACTCCCTTCTGGCCTACCCCTTAAAAGACTTGTGCGTTAGACCTGTAGGGGAAAGTAAAGGGGAGGGATTAATCTATCTCTGCAGTGAAATATGGTCTCAATATAAATTGGAAAAGATTCTAATTTGCCATTTTTGTCTCAAAATTCTCTACGATTTTAATAACTTTACACAGAGAAACGGTAAATGGTCAGAGGTCTGGCTCTTCCCCACCCTCAACTCACCAGCAGCCAGAACTGCCTCTCTCCTTTCTTCCTGAGCTCCCTCCCTGGTTCTGTCACTCTCTCCTCTGGGCTAGCAGAATGTTTACTGCTCTGGGAAGTCCCACACCTGGGACATTCACCCTACCCGGGAGCCTTTCTCACGTTTTCTGCCCACCTTATCAGGGTACATGTGATGCTCTGCACCTCCCCAAACAAGCAGATCCAGAAAGGACTATGCTTGCTGTTCAAATACAATAAAGTCTGACATCAACACACTCACCCCCACCCCAGCCCTCTGTCCTGTCAGGGTGAGCTCGGTCCATACTCCTCCTTTCCCCCTATCCATTCTGTCTTCCCTAAAATAAGGTCTTCTTTAACTAACCACCTCCTCTTTGTCTACAAACACTAAAATCCTAAAACCTAACATCTCACCCAAAGACAACATCTCTGGTCCAGATCTCCAGCAATATACATGGCAGGGCCAGCAAAGGAAAACTCAAGAACAGTGGTAAGTTCTGAGCAACTCTGCCCCAGAGAATGCCCCATGCCTAGCCTTCTTCTATCTTTACCTCTGCCTTTTGTAGTTGCAGACAAAATCTCTGCTAATAACTGACACTGCTTTGTTGTTTTCTCCTGTAATGTTATACGTGTGCACATATTATATGTCTACATGGAAAATTTATTAACAGCTTTGTTTTAATTGGCTTACATTTGTTTTAGATATTCAAGAAATATTTCCAACTACATGTACTCATAAAATTTATGGAAGGCATTGGACCTTTTGGTAAATGCTTTTCTAAGTTATTTGACAGCTAAAATTATTTACTAAAGTTTTCATTTGATATTAAGTTATTGAAAGTAGGCAATTTGGGAAGCTTGACTTGTTTTCTCATTTCTCCTCTATTCTCTCCAAGATGGAAAATGGATTCTATTCTATAGAACTCTCCATCAGGATGTACAGTTTGATTTTTAGACCTTATATAAGACAGACTGGATAAGGTGGTCTTAATGTTTTATCTCACCTAGAAGGGCATAGCTTTTCCTCATGGGCATCATCTTATCTAACAGTAAGAATATTGTAATAACATGCCTGTGACTACAGATTTCTAGCTCAGGCCACCAAAGATTAGGGACAGGATTGAGTGCACCCTTGTCTGAGATTCCTAAAGGCTTCCTCTGCGTTCCTCTTTAACAAAGACCAGGAGAAAGAGGAGCGAGGCATCAGGAACAATGTAAGGATAGGTGGCAGGCCATTTAATGGCTCCTTTACATGGTGATCTGCCATCAAGGAGACCCAACAAGGCCAGTCCACCCCGAAATGGCACCTGTTTTCCATATGAGGAGTCAGGGCATTGGGCAAGCAGCTGTCAGCTCTTCCAAGAGCAAGGCCACTGGAAATGGAACTGCCTTGGGGGTTGGAGGACTCCTGGGTCAGAGCTGCAGACCCTGATGGCCCCAAGCTGAAAAAGCCCTTCACTCTGCCCAGCTTCCAGAGTAACCACTGCCAGCAGGAGGACAGCCTAGGGTCAGTAACAATCTAGGTAGAGCTGTACATCTGCTTTCAGAGATGCCGCCTATTCAATACTAATCTCCTATTGCAGGCCAACTCTCTTCCCAGGCCAGCCAGGTAATGGAAGCCAACAGGTGCCTTCCCTAAGAAGGTTCACACCTCCCTTATGATGTCTCTTCCAGAACCCCATGTGAAGAGATAGACAGGTCTGGACATCACATTTACCTTGGCAAGTCTTAATGCCCACCTGATTATTATGAAATCCCACCTGTCAGTTTCTGTTTGCCTTTCAATGGGAAAAATCTCTCCTGGTTTGGACAGCACCTTTCTTAGGTCCTCTAGTAATGACTCTGTCCTTAGTTTTAGACCCCGTGTATTTAATCTGCTTGTTAGATTTGTTTGCTCCAGGAAATAAAACCATGAATGCAGACAGTATCTGTGAGCTAGTGCAGCAGCCCCCTCAAGAGGCCACCTGCTGGAACCCTGTGTTGACCATGCGTCCTCTACTCAGCTGGAAGAACTCAGCTCCAGTCCTCACCCAAACCCCTGACAGCAACCAGGGTTTCCATAAGCAGAGGGAGGAAATGAGGGAGCCCAGGACTAGAAGCAGATCAGACTGACTCCATCCCATGGCTCCCAGCCAGCACGTGCCCACTGAACAAAATGGGAGCGTCCTTTCCCTCTGGCACCCAGGCACACACCTGTCTTCCCACTAACCGGACAGGACTCTTGCTTTCCTATTTTCCCCTTTGCTGGCTCTGTGAGCATGATGGCAGTTGGTCCACTTCTGTGGATTCATGTTCTCTGAATAAATTCGGTCTGGCTGCGAGTTCTTATTCTGTCTCCTCTCTGTTCTGTGCCTCTTTTTTCTTCTATTTGGTGCCCTGAGAAGGCCACAATCTTCCCCTCTCTTCCTAACAAAGAGCCTCTCGGGTCTCAGAGACAAACCCCGAGAAAAGGGATCCTTCCATGCAGATCACCGCTCTCTGCCATCCTACGTGCTTGCAGACACACAACATGCTTTTGTCGAACTACCAAGGGTAACAGTAATCATGTACACAGTCTCTGCCATTTCAATTTATCCAAATTATAAAACCAGCAAGTGCTTTAAATACGAAAAATGTTCCAAATACAAACTTATATAATTAATAGAGATCAATAAGACAACATGAATTGGTAAAGAGTCTGAACATTAAAAGAGGAAATGCCATGTGTATTCCTTTAATTTTATTTTTAAAAAACTACTTAAAATAATTTATTGCAACGTAGTAATAGGGCAGAAGTCAAGGGAAAATAAATACATGAGAACAGACCAGAAAACAAATTCAATGGAAGTAAGGGAAGAGGATGCCAGGCAATCAGCGCTTCCCTCTTCCAATGGTCACTGGTGAGTCAGTGTGACACAGCAAGGACAGAACTATCAACAGAAGAGAAAGAGACAAAAGCATGTGGTTAAGTTGGAAATGTAACAGCACCAGTCAGAGGAGAAGGGAAAAATCACTAACTGGTGCTGGGACAATTAGGAATCTATCCCCACTCAAAAAAAAAAAAAAAAAAAGACATATCCTCATCTCATCTACAAATAAAATATAAATCTCAAAATACACAAATCCAAAAGAAAGCAAATATAAATATTTATCAAATCTATTGGAGGCAGAGTCTTTATTAAAAATAAAACACAGGAGAAAAAGTTCAAATAAAACTATTAAGATTCTCAACCATATAAAATTTAAAACTAATGTATGTCAAAAAAAAAACAAAAACCAACAAGTATAACTGAAGCCCAACCACTCACTGAAATAAACAACAAAGGGAAAATGTATGTTCTGTACAAAGAACTCATGAGACTCAGTCAAAAAACACAAAAGAACAATATTAGGCAAATCTCCAAAGAACACACATGATATAATTAGAACTTAAATACATAGTTTAACTCACTAATAAAGAGAGTCAAAATAAAACCATAACATACTGCTTACATCTTATACATTTGTGAAGTTCTTTGTTTTAATGGGAATGTCATGGTACTGCTGGGAGAAAAAATGGATACAAGTACTTTAACGTAGGCTGGCCATATGTACATCAAAGGCTTTGCTACGGTTTACGACCTTTTATCCAGCAAATCCACTAAGTCCATTAACACAGGCAGTTTGCTACTTTCTTTACTAAAGTCTCCTTGAACTTGTCTTTGAAACTTATACACATGTGAGTCCAGTAGTAGACCAAGCTGTCAGGGAGCAAGAATAGCCAAGCAATTGTGGGCCCCGATGCAAAATGAGAATGTGTGGCCCTTGTTAAAATGATTAAGAATTTCCAGACAATAGCAGAGCATTAAAACAAGCCTGGAGGGGGCCGGCACTGAGGCTCACTTGGTTAATCCTCCACCTGTGGCACTGGCATCCCATATGGGCGCCAGGTTCTAGTCCTGGTTGCTCCTCTTCCAGTCCAGCTCTCTGCTGTGGCCCAGGAGGGCAGTGGAGGATGGCCCAGGTGCTTGGGTCCCTGCATCCGCATGGGAGACCAGGAGAAGCACCTGGCTCTTGGCTTCAGATTGACACAGCGCCCGCCGTAGCAGCCATTTGGGGAGTGAACCAACGGAAGGAAGACCTTTCTCTCTGTCTCTCTCTCTCACTGTCTATAATTCTGTCAAATTAAAAAAAAAAAAAAAAAAGCCTGGAGTCCTTTTGAACACATGACCCTAGAGGCTGTGGCCAGTCCTGCCAGGGTAGGTATTCTGTACCCGGATTTCAGGAGGGCAGAGTCCATCTTTCATTCTGGTCCATGCAGGCATAGCTCTCTGTTTCTGTGTGGTGTGTGGGAACTTTGGAATTGAGCAAGGAGAGAGAATGGGTATTAACAGGAACTGTCGCCTTCTCCTAGGGAAAGGAGAAAGAATCCAGAAATGGTGTATCTGAGAGGATTAGCATCTAGAGCAGGAGCCAAGCCCCTTCCTTTCTAAATCTTCTGCTCTCCCACTCCCCTATGTCCCTACCACACACCCCCATGCTGCACCACAGGTCAAACAGGTGATCTTACGAGATTCCTGCTCATGTCCACCCAGCCCACTCATGCTCCTGAATGGAAAGTGGCCAGGCCAGCAGAGGGGATACTCCCTACCAGCCTGCTTCCTTGGGGCCTCTGAAAGCAAGAGGGATCAACCAAAAGAATAGACATAATGCTACTCATTGTGAGATCACAGAGAATCTTCAAACTTGTTTGCATGTTGTTGAATAAACCTAACACATCAATGTTGGCTTAGGAATAGGAATATATAGTTTATAAAATTATGTGTTTTGAAACCTGACATTCACTTTTATTTTAAAATGAATGAAAGCTATATTAATAATAGAAAGAGAATAGCTAATGCTAAATAATTACTTGTCAAAAACAAAACAGACTGTACACACACATATTCGCTCACTCAAAGATAAATACTACTGTGTTTATTTTTCATCTAAAAGAAGCAGGGGTACTTTAAAATGCTTTTCTTAATTATTTCAAAAGCAAATCTTGGAGCCAGCGCTGTGGTGTATGTGCTAAACCTTCACCTGTGGCACCAGCATCTCATATGGGCTCTGGTTCATGTCCTGGCTGTTCCTCCTCTGACCCAGCTCTCTGCTATGGGCTGGAAAAGAAGTGGAAGATGGCCCAAGTGCTTGGGCCCCTGCACCCAGTGGGAGATCTGAAGAAGCTCCTGGCTCCTGGCTTCAGATCAGCTCAGCTCACCTCTAGCCATCTGGGGACCTTTCTCACCCATCTCTCTCTCTCTCTCTCTCTCTCTCTCTCTCTCTAACTCTATTTCTCAAATAAAAAAATAAAATCGTAAAGAAAAAAAAGCAAATCTTGGTTGAATTTTGTCATGACAATGTATTCTAATTTAGTTGATTGCCTGGTGTAGAGAAGACAGCTCTTATTCCTACAAAGACTGATTCGTTGTAATCACAATTCAGTACTTGAGCAAACTACTTAATATCTCTAAGATTACTCTCTTTTGTTCTATTTTCAAAAGCTTTTTATTTATTTTCATTTTATTTGAAATGCAAAGAGAGACAGAGACAAAGTGAGATCTCTCATCCGCCGGTTTACTCCTCAAATACCTGCAACAGCTAAGGCTGGGTCAGGATGAAGCCAGGAGCCTGAAACTCAGCTGGGTTTCCCAAGTGTGTGGCAGAGATGGAAGTATATGAACCATGATCTTCTGCCTCCCTGGGTGTACATTAACTGGAAGCTCGATTAGGCAGTAGAGCCAGGACTCATAACCAAGGTGCACTGATATGGAATATGGGTATCCCAAGCAGCGTCTTAATTGCTGTGCCAAACGCCCACCCCTTACTTCTGTCATGCAAACTGAGTTAAGGCTGAGAAGTTCTCTAAACTCACAGCAGTCAAGCAACCTGGTTATCCCACCAAACCCTCATGGCCACCAATCCATAAGATAGCGTCCTTATTACTGTTCTCAGTGCGCACACGAGGAAACTCAGGGGTAGAGTGAGGATTCTTCGGGAAGTTCATTAACCAAAGCAACCGGCATCGGAGCCACTAGCCACCACGTGATCACACAATGTCCTCTTCTTAGATTTTTCTGACAGCTTTGGGTGAGAAGCCCAGGTGCGGGGATCAGGGCACTTACATTTGAATCCTTTGTCACTGACCACCTGCTCCACTCGGAATATACTTTAATCTGTGGTCCCTATTTATAAAATGGGGCCCTAGAGTGAAGCAATGCATGTAAAGCACACTGTGGTAAGCTCGGCACGTAGTAAGTGCTCAGTGAATGCTGCCTAGCAGTCCTGTCCCAGTGAGCTAACCGCCTAGATCTTTTCTTTAACTCAAACAACTGACTCTGAATTCACAATCAGGCTGAAGAATTCAGACTTCTTCCCTGTATGTCAACAAGTGTGGCCTCCCTGCAATCTCCCAGACTTTGCACGTGAGGGTCTCTGGCGGCCGTTCCAACTCTTACTAGCTAAGAATGACATCTCTGCTGCCTCCTAAACACAACTTTATTCCATTTGCAACTTATTCACAGCCACCTCTCCTGGACCACAGGGCCCCTCCCCACTGGGACTGTTACAGTCATTTGGCACTTAACATAGTAATAATCACAAGTGACATTTATAGCACTCTTGGGGATATACCAATTTGTTTTTATGTATATTTTCTCACTGCCTTGGCATTCCGATCTTCTTACATGCCCTGGGATCACAGCTCCATATACTCTGCAGCTGGCAAGAAGACTACATACACCAGGGAGCCCTTGGGAAGTTTGCTGCTGAGGATAATGCTTGAGTTATCAGGAAATGAAAACAAGAAAGTCGTGGTGAGCCTCGTATCACATGCAAATATATTTTCAAAATGTACAGGTTGACTAAGATTCTCCCATCCGTGTGCACAGATGCATGGAGGAGCATAGCAAAGCATCTAAAGTTAGCAATGGGAACTGACACAGAGAGCGAGGGGACAGACAGTATTAGCATTGCTGTCAGGAATGTTTGCAATACCTGGAGTACAGTGTGTCGCTAGCACAGGTGATTATGGGAAAAGCCAGTCTACATTTCTAAAGAGCTGAATTCTGTGATCTTTCCAAAGCTTCTGTGAGTCTCTCTTTAGGATACATCCCTTCTGTAGCATCGGCCTCTTCAGGACTCTGGAGTCCAGCTTCAGTCCCATCACCCATGGCAAAGCCCCCAGACACTGTCCTATCCACCTGCAAGCCCTATGTGAGCTGGGAACCCCTGAATTAAATGGAGCAGAAATTTAGACTGTCTAGCAAGTGGCTAATCGGGCACTCCCATCAGTCATGTAAAATCTCTCTCTCACAATCCAGGAAGAAAGGGAAATACCATTTCAAAGACTAGTTAGGTTTATTGGCTTAGACCGCCCAAGATCAGAACAGATACACTTTTCACCTTCTCAACTGTTTACTTTTCAAATGCCTTACCAAATTCTTGACCTCTGTGACCCACCATATGTCCTCCTTACACATACGAGGAAAAGCCTGGTTAACCAGTACATTAACCCTTCTGCTTAGCCTTCTCAGCCTCATTCAAAAGGAAAATATTTTACTTTCATTGCATAGTATAGAGGTGGACCAAATGCCTCAAAAACCCACCTAAAGTGTCACTCATATCAACTCCTGGCCATTTATTCAATCAAAAAATAAACATTAAGTGTCTAATATATGCTATACATATTGTGGACTTTGGACAAAGTAAATTTAGCCTAAGGAAAGAAATGGGTGGGCTGAATCTATAAATTATATTGAACCTTAGTGAACTAGCATTTTTGTAGACAAAAGTGTCAGAATCAACAATGTCACATGATTTGAGTATGAACATAATTCATTCCATTGGATAGTGCCCAAGATGTGGTCACATGAACTGAAATTTCCTCTTGGTATACAGTGTAATACAAAGTTACTAACATACTTAAAGAAATAACAAACATTTAACATAGAGAAAATTCACCAATCTCCAAGCAAAAGAATGAAAATTTTATGTAACACTAATTAAGCATGACAAACACCTGCATATTTCTGTCATATTTGAATACTATCTAACTCCTTATAAAATCTGAATGAAATCAGCTCATTATTTTCTAATCTAAATCTTTGTACAGAAGAGTTACTGAGAATCCCACACTAAGCAGAGAAAGCCCGAGGCCTTCTCGTTTGCAAAGAGGCCAGTGGTGGGTGGACAAATCTGAAAGGAGCCAGAGAGGTAGAGGCAAAGACAAAGAAGACACAAAATGGCAAGCCCAGGGTGGCTAATATGCCTTCTGTCAGCCATTGTTCATACTAACAGCTCTATAAGAGTGACTCCACTGCCTCTTCTTAAACATTTCCCAGTATCCAACCCAATGCATAATCACACAGTGATGCCGTGTGCATCACATTTCCTTTTGTGTTTGAATTTGCATATTTTATCTTGGAATCTGCCTTTCATCAGCACTCATTTTACTTTCCATTTTCAAATGTAAACAAGAATTTAGCTCTGGGCTAAAATCTGAGCTGAACATAGTATCCATTGTAAACTTCTCCAAATAATTAAACTTTCACTAATAAAACCTCTATGTGACTAAACTGAGCAAAATTTCACAAGCAGAATTTCTGCTTTTAAATATATATAAAACAAAAAAAAAATCAAGGGCTTGGACTAAATGAGTAGACAACTACTCTCCTCCCTCTGACATTTGAGGTCTCCAAATAAGTTTCTACAAAGCATACTCATAGGCAAATGACATAATGTTCCCATGAAGCTTTCAAGTGGACCCAAATTTTAAATGGTGAAGCTGAATGTAAGTGGCTAAGCAGTGTGAATTTCAAGTATTCCAAACACAGAAAGAAAGAATATGTGACATGGAGTCAGTGTCATTGGCACTGCATAAATATAATACAACCTTATGAGCTAACCCTTATTATCTTAATTTTCCAGAGACGAAAACTGTAGTACAGGGTCACCAGGTTAGTGGATCCCAGAGCAGGACAGACCCATCCATTTCCGAGACTCATCTCTATTATGCTATGCCACTACAGACTAATTGGATGACAATCAGGTTTGGGGGTGGAGAATATCAAGTTGAGGTATAGGATAGAATGATGGAAGATCTAAATTCCAATCAAAATACTGGAATTTTCTAGTTAAGAAATTTAACTTTTCAGAGCCCCAGTGTCCTCAGTCTGGCCATAGCAGGTGTTCAATGTGCACTTACTAAACATTTCTCCATGTCCCTGAGAGAACGTCAAGGTAATGGTGACCCAAACAGCCTTCCTGGGGCCGCACTGTGGCATAGCTGGTAAAGCTGCCACCTGGAGTGCCAGCATCTCATATCAGCACTGGTTCGTGTCCCGGCTGCTCCACTTCCGATCCAGCTCTCTGCTATGGCCAGGGAAAGCAGTAGATAATGGCCCAAGTCTTTGGGCCCCTCCCTGCACCCATGTGGGAGATCCGGAAGAAGCTCCTAGATCTTGGCTTCAGATCAATGCAGCTCTGGCCATTGTGGCTGACTGAGGAGTGAACCAGTGGATAGAAGATCTCTCTCTCTCTCTGTCTCTCTGTCTCTCTCTCTCTCCCCCTCTGTCTCTCTGTAACTCTGCCTTTCAAATAAATAAACAAACCTTAAAAAAAATAAAAAGAATAGCCTTCCTGCCACAGAAAGTAGATGGACAAAGCTGGGTCAACTTTATTGTTCACAGATTTCACACTCACAGCAGCGTGGACTGATGTTATTGTGCTCCACCCCTGCCAAGTTAGAGAAATGGGAGCTGGTGTGTGCAAAGCCGAGCTGTGGTCTGTCCCCATCCTTCCATCTACCCCCAGCTTTCCCCTTTGTTCTAGCATTGAACAAGAAAGTTATTTCTATTTTAATGCTAGGGGCAATTTCTATTTTAATGTTCAATCCTATGACCCACAAGATTCTTCAGTATTAATGAAAAGCTGTCAAAATCTGCTATTATCCCTGGGCAAATGGTGTTGTTATCATTCAGGTCTAAGGAATTGCTGAACTCAAAATTAAACCTATTTGTGGTTTAGAAGCAGTATTGTAATATAAAGAACAAGCTGTAATCCTTGTGGTTCAAGACTTATTACTAACACAATTTAAAATTTGCCTTCTTTGTAGTGATTTCTTCATGCTATGAAGACAGAAGGGAAAGGAAGCAAAAAATAAAATGAAAATTAAATGTTGGGTTAACTAGAAACATTTTCCAAAACAAAGTTACATGATTCATTAATTTAGTCAACAAATATTAACTTGCCCCCTGCTTTAATAATCATGCATTAGGAGCTGGGAACCTAAAAAAAAAAAAAAAAAAGCCCATCATCTCTGCCATCAAGACACTTAAAGTCTAGGAAAGGACTCAGTCAGAAGCCTGGTCATCTCTAAAGCACTGTGAATAAAGGCAAAATGCTCCAGAGCTGGTGGCAGGTGCAGCCAGCTCAGACCTGGCAGGAGGCAACAAGGTGATCTAGAAGCTTAGACAACAGCTCAGTACACATCCCAAGGACAATGAGAACCCAGAAGCAAAAGGAAAAACGGAGCATTCAGGAATCACAAATACTTTAGTGGGGACAGAAGGGTAGGAGGTAGGAGTTAGTCATAAAATCTCAGTCTTGCAGATCAAAGTATAAAACCTGGACTCTACCCAGAGAGCAGCCAGAAACTTCAAGAGTTTTCTCAAGCAGACTGATATACCAGATCCACAAAAGTAAAGCTGAGCTTAGAGAAGGAACTGCAGAGGGCAAAACTAGAGGCAATAAGATTAGTTAGAAAGCCACTACTGGAGATAGCAATGATGGCTAGAGAGATTTGAGAGATGTGAATCCAGTAGGAAAAATGTCAATTTGTGATTGGACAAGTGAAGAAGCATAGACATCCCAGATGGCACCTAAAATGATTTTCTCAAACATCCCACAGAGTAAACATTTCCTAGGCTGTCAGGTGTGAGCAGTTTAAGATGTGAGGTTCTCTGTATCAGGCCTGCACCTAGACACATTCAGAAGACAGACTCAGGTCCTTCCCACCCATGCTGACTTTCTATTCTTACTCTCCCCATGTTTGTCTAATTCTCCAACTCCTTTTTTTTTTTTTAACTCTATAGATCAGACCCAAGCAGAACTCAATAGTTCTCTTCTCTTCCATGTATCTTCGTATCACTATTGACTCTGAAAGTCAAAGATATCTTAAGACAGGTTGAAGAGAAAGACCATTCCTTTAAGAACAACAAAGTATACATGGGTCCACACTGTGGCACAGAGGGTTAAGCTGGCACCTGCAGTGCCAGCATCCCATATGGGTGCCAGTTCAAGTCTGGCTGCTCCACTTCCAATCCAGCTCCCTGCTAATGTGCCTGGAGAAGCAGTGGAAAATGGCCCAAGTCTTTAGGCCCCTGAACCCTTGTGAAAGACCTGGATGAAGCTCCCAGTTCCTGGCCTCAGCCTGGCCTGGCCTTGGCTGTTGTGATCATTTGGGGAGTGAACCAGCAGATGGAAGATCTCTCTTTCTTTCTCTCTCCCCCTTCCCCCACCTCTGTGATTCTGACCTAAAAAAAAAAAAAACCCAAACCCACCCACCCAAAAAAAAACACCCCACAGAAAAAGAGCACCAAAGTTTGGGGACTTTGACGTGGGGAAATTCTCATCTGGGTTGTTTTTTAAACATAAGCGAAGGCGGGGAAAGTAAAGCCCTCGCAACAACCTTCATTAGCTGTAGAGCAGATAGAAAGCCACTGAAATGTGTACATCCAAAGTGTCCACAGCCACTGTCTGAATCTCATTCACACATCATCAACTCTAATGAGGACACCGAGCAGTCACAGGGTGAGCCTGTTGCTTGCTTGGGAAACAAACAGGGGAGTCCAGAAATAAAAACCTCTCTTTGGGCCACAAGTTGGCCTGACGCTACTCTCACAGGCAACTTCTCTTTTGGGATTCTTAAAGGATGACTTCCAAAGCCATTCCTCCTGATGTAAAGCATTAATGCAAAAATAAACAATGCAATTCATCAAACACAATCAAATGCACAGCATGGTGTGGTCCTCACTGCATCCACAAGTCCAAACAGAAATACTTGTGAGCAACTCGTTTTGCACCTGTATCATGCACATGAGAGATTACTGAATGTTCGGGTCGAAAACATGGAGTTCCTTCCCCTTGTATATTCACCCTTCTGTCTCACTGAATATAGTTTGATGGTAATTTTATGACTTCCAAAAATAAAAGGAGTCTCCGGAAATTTCTTAGGAAAGCAGCTTTTGTGATCCACACTACTTCATTGATTTTCATTTGAAGAAAAAAGATTACCAGTAAAAAACAAAAATGAAAATAAGTAACTGGGTTTCTAGAAATTAGCTATTTTTTAAAGATTTATTTATTTATTTGAAAGTCAGAGTTACACAGAGAGAGGAGAGGCAGAGAGAAAGAGAGAGAGAGAAGTCTTCCATTGTTGGTTCACTCCCTAGTTGGCCACAATGGCCGGAGCTGCACCAATCCAAAGCCAGGAGCCAGGAGCTTCTTCCAGGTCTCCCACATGGTTTCAGGGGCCCAAGACCTTGGGCCATCTTATACTGCTTTCCCAGGCCATAGCAGAAAGCTGGATCAGAAGTGCAGCAGCTGGATCTTGAACCGGTGCACATATGGGATGCCTGCACTGCAGGCAGTGGCTTTACCCATTATGCCACAGCACCAGCCCCAGTAACTGCGTTTTTATAAAAAAGATTGGTCTAAAATTTTCTAAGTTTGAACAAAGCAAGCTTCTAGTAGTGTTAACTTTTAAAAACTCGGATTTAATAATTAATCCAACATTTGCCTGGAAACAGAACATGTACAGAGCTCATAGATAACATTACAACTGGGAAGAGAGTTAAATACATCAAAAAGTGCTTTTAATGGCTCTTCTAAAATAAATTAAGATAAGTTTATTTTGGTGCAAAAAATGGGGGGTAGGAAAAGTGGCACAGCTGCCTGTAATGTTCCCATCCCAAATCCAAGTGGCTAGATTCAAGTCCCAGCTCTATTGTCAATTGTAGCTTTCTCCCCATGCAGACCCTGGGAGGAGAGAGTTGATATCTTAAGTATTTAGATCCCTGTAAGGCATAACTCAATCTAGGGGAGACCCAGATTGAGTTTCTGGCTCCTGGCTTTTGCCTAGCTCACTAGAGGCTGTTACTGGCATTTGGGGGAGAGAAATAGCAGATGGGTAGTCTCTTGTCTGTCTCTCTGCCTTTCAAATAAAAAAATCAAAATCTATGCATAGATTTTTCATATTGTGCATTTCCATGCACCTTCTGCAGAGTCCTTGTATGCCTGGATTTCAAAATCTTTTGCAGTAGACGTATTTTTTAATTCTGTTTTTCATGAACTTTCTGAAGTATTCTTATATATCCCATTTTACACAAAACCTGTTACTGATAATAACAACATAACATTTGCCTTGTGTCATAATTTTTCTGTGTGATCTCCTGAATCATTGATTTACACATCAATACTTCAAAATGTGCAGTAAATCCAGCCAAAAGTATTTTTTAGAGTGATGACTTATTTGGGGATAATAGAACTCACTTTGAAAACAAGACCATTCAGTTCTGACAGTAAATAAATCAGGCAACAGTCTCTCTGCAATCTGCAACACTGAGCAATAAATCTTCCACTTCAACTTTACACCAGACATAATGCTGTAAAGCAGAAGTCCAGTTTTAACTCAGTGACCTAGTTTTGCCTCTGCAGGACAGTAAATCTGATGCAAAATGAGCAAATATGGGTGGCTGAGTTTCAACCTGGCATAACAGTGAGGATTTGTCAAGGATCCCAGAATTTAGAGTTTTTAAGAATACACATACAAAAAAAGACTGAAAAACAAAAACATATGCTAAGCAGCTGAATTTGGAGAAATTAAAGGATGGAAAGAACTTTCACCTTAGCTGGGAAAATATTCTGTTTAATGAGTGTTTTCTTTCACTTGGTCCATTCTAAAGTTTCTTTTTTAATCTCTAAAATTATCTCTAGAAACACATGTTAGGTGAATAACGATATATCCATTAAGCCAATTAATGCTGGACAAATGTTTTTATCTAACTCTGGGACCCTGAGACAATTATTTTAACTTTAACTCAGTTTCTTCATTTGTAACATGGAAACATGCCTACATAACTCATAGGACATTTTAACCATAACTGTACATACTCTGTACAGATATAAAGCTGAGAGTTACAATAGTCAATAAAGCAAACCAAATTAATACCTTCAGGGAGGCAGAGGACAAGATTAGGAAACAAAAATAAATACAGAATTTCCAAATCTACCAAGTGAAGGCCTAGAAAAAGGGCTTAGGTCCCTCTGAGGAAAAGGCAGACCTTAGATGGAGGCTCTGCTGAGCTGGGGACTGGGATGAAACCGGAAGAATGAGAAAGGCTCAGCCATGTAAAGAGAAGAGATTGGACCATCCCAGGCCAGGGATATGATCTTGGAATTGGCCCAGTGTGTCCCAATTACTGGGGAGATAAGTGGAGGAGCAAACCACACAGACCCCGAGAAGAACAAAGAAGAGTTTGGCTTTACTCTGTATGGATGAAGGAGGCACTGGGTGGCTTCCAGCAGGAAAATGAGATTCTTGTTCTGAAAGGTGGCACTACTTGCTGGGGTACTAGACCGACCAGGGAGGTCCAGAAGCAAAGCATTGGAAGCCATTCTGGTTTTTAGAAAAGTTTTTACTGAATAGCTTGCTGCCATGAATTCTTTGACCATTTAGGATGGCTTCTAAGTGTTGTGTAGGTTAGATAGAGGTCTGCAAGAGCCCAATACTAATTGAGTTGTACAATGGTGCTGGGCAGTAGACAACTCTTCTTTGTTCTCATTGTGGATCCCATTCTATATTTAGAATAGATATTTGGAACATAAGTGACAGATTTGGTGCCCAGAATTAATAAGAAGTTTCTCTATCACAGCTTCCTGGTGAAGAATCCAAAAGGAATAACTTTTCTTTGGCTTTCCATCCAGAGATGAGCATAGGGAACACTTAATGAATAGGATGTGCTTCCATTCCCGCCTATCACATACTGCTTGGCAAAGAAGAGAAAGAAATGGAGAAAGAGAGATTGAGGGAGGGAAGGGGCCTGAAGGAGCAGGGGGAGGGGAGCACGGGGAAGGTTGGAGAGGGGAAGACCTCAGAGGAGAGGATGGAAGAAAAGGGGAATGGAGGGGAGGGGCGGGGAGGAGAGATTTGAGACATGATTTGTCATCACCCAGAAGCGCGAATGCTGGCTTCCAAACCTCAGGATCTGATTCCCTCATCAATCTTAATACCCCCCAGATTCT